CATCTATTTATCTGTTTTTATATTCCATCAATTTTATCCATCCATCCATCCATTTATCTGTTTTTATATTCCATCTATTTTATCCATCCATCCATCCATCCATCCCTCTATTTCATCAACATATTTTATATGTATGTACGCTGCTCAATGCTTAAATGTCACACAATTTTTCGTACTTTCCCTAAGCATTCTGTTTATATCGATTTACGTCCTCGTTCATGTTGTTTATCTCAAAACCTTCGTATCGGCGATGTAAAGCTTACTCGCCTTGTTATCACCTGTAAGATAATGAAATATATAACTTCTTTTGGTGCTATTTTATGTAAATTATAAACTTATTTGTTACCATTCGAAGAGGTATAAGAATAACTAAAGTTTATAAATAAAATTATAAAATCTCCATTATATAAATGTGGATGTATATATACCTGAGCGTGTGTATGCGCGGGCTCGGTAGTCTGTATCAATTTTCCTTCCAGGTGCTAACCCTTTACCCCAAGCAACAAAAATCTCACGCTTGTCCTTACTGACCTTGACCTTTGTCCGTGCTACATCCGAAGGTCAGCCCTTGTGCCGTATGTAACAGCCATACCTTGCGGTCGCACAAAAAGTGAATCTGCTTGCGCACCTGTAAGGCGGCCATAATCAAAAGACCCGGATGCTCTGCAGTGCGAATAAAAAGCGCTTGGGTGGGTGTGGTTGTGCGAAAAAAAATTTGTTTTTTTTATTCTAATATTCTTGTTCTTTTATTTTTCGTGCGAAACTCTTGCCCACTGTAAAAAAAATCATAATATTTGTGCACATAACTAACGCCTACATTGTTTTTTTTTTTAGAATCTAATAATAATAATAATAATAATAATAATAATAATAATAATAATAATAATAATAATAATAATAATAATAATAATAATAATAATAATAACAACAACAACAATAATAATAAAACAATTGTCATTTCTAACCATAATTCTGGAAAAGTGTTTTGAAGAAATATCAAGAAGTTACGGCGTGATAAGAACCAGTACCTTTGTTATACCTTCCTAAACCTATGAGAGGTAACAAACTTAAAATATTACGTGTCTTGATAAGCTTCTCTTGTGAATAAAAGAATAGTTGTGAGATTATTTTTCAATGTTGTTTTATTTGCATATTTGTCTCCTGGAATACCTCGACTTCACACAAGAAAGAAGGCTACCAGGTTAACTTACAAACACAACAACTTATAACATAAAAATAACACTCAAAAAACTCCACAACACATCCCCAGCATTTATACTCTACAACCTTTTCACTTAGCAACGATATCGCTATCTAACTCCCATGCGTAGTGTACAGTGTTCGGTGTGTATTTAGAATGTGTAATTTTGTTTAAGTATGCGAGTCGTTTGCTGTGTAGGCGACCGATATGACGTCATCAATTTTGGCCACATCGCGATAAACTCTATGGGATTTTCTCGTACCTTTCCACGTTGCAATTGTCGGGAATACTTTCCTGAACACAAATTATATACTGGATTTGGGATTCCGATAAGAAATTTGTAGCTATTTTGGAAACTGGGTCGTAGTTATTTAGTTACTTATCATCCATAAATATACACACACGCGCGCACTCAGACACACACACAAAACGATTACAAAGACTTTCACACACACACAGGTAGGTATTCCCGATATACACTCATAACAAACACACACACACAAAGACACGGCTCATACCTATCTACAGCACAATTCTAATATTAGCACAATTAATGCTATGAAACAGTCCTTCTTGCAGGAACTATGCACCACATGCACTGTACACCGTGCGTAACCACCCCAGAAGAAACGCACCATCACCCACCTCACAATACCCATCCACCACTTCTTCCGTCATCCACTCATCCGCCGGCATTTCTGGATCGTGTAAGTGGCAGTGAATCTACTTCCGTTCCATCTTTTCACACTTTACCGATGCCATCCATCACGATCGCAGCTGTAAGCTGATCTCGGCCACATGCGTCTGCTAGTCAGGTGGCCAGTATCACTAGCACTAATGTCTATAACTTATAAGTCCTTACCATGAAATAAGGTATGAAAATCATCGTATGTCAATGATGGAATTATTTTAACCTTGTATAAAGCATCGATATAACCGTTATTATATCAAGGCCATAGCAGTTAATATAACATGAACAGATACCAGACAACGAGACCAGTCACCATGTAACGCTGAAATAAAAATCAGCATATCATGGCCACATAGTCTCTACAACTTAAAGACACCGCCGTCATCACCACCCACACGACATCATGCCAACAAAGCATGGCATGGCAATGCAGTCGATGTGTCGATTCAAAAGCAACCATTTAATACCGCTATAGCGGTCATCATAGCATCCAGACAGGAATCACCTTAACGTAGCGACAGTCACCAGAGGGAGAGCGATGTCAAGAGACGTACCATGGGTTTAGTCAAGTTGGCGAACCTTGTCATAGCAGCTAGGATACTCGCCAT